TCTAGAGTAGTGTTTCTGAACCTTGGCAACTTTAAGACATGTGGACTTCAACTCCCATGACTGACTGGGGAATTCTGGGAGTTGAAGTCCACATGTCTTAAAGTTGCCAAGGTTCAGAAACACTACTCTAGAGGAAGAGACTAGAAAACCTGATTTATGAATTCAGAATTTGTTTTATTTTTCCATATCTGTATTTTGATAAGCAATGTAGAAAAGATTCTGTATGTTGCTCGTAATGTTTTCAGAGGACAGATCTACCTGTCCATTTTCTCAGAGCCATTTTCCATTATGTGATTTTCAGCGAGAAAGTATATCAACCCACTTTCCAAGTCTCATTTCCCTGTGGGTAGAACTGTTCCTCACATGTAAGTATAACAGGATAGTAAATGTGAAAAACATCTGGAAGTACCGCTAGCACTTAGCCTGAATGTATATTTGCCAAGATTCAGATGCTCCTCCTAACAAGACCTTTTATTCAGTGTTTCTGTGCATGAGAGAGGTGGTGGACTACAAAAATAAATCTGCTAGTTATCAGAAACAGTGGGGAAATAAAAATAAATGCTTGATCTAAAGAGAATGGGTGAGGCAGAAAAAAACCTGAGGCATGAAACTATAGCATAGTTGTCAAAAACCAGAATGAACTCAAAGTGAAATCATTTTGATCTTTTGACAAGATGTTCAAAAGAGACATTCTTAGGATAATTCACCCCAACACTGAATCCTAGATGTCTATTCAGAAATGTCCCATTGAACTCAACAGGACTAATTCCCCGTGAGTACAAATAGGTCTGCAGCCTGAGCTTCCCAAAGTTCGTGCCTTGCACTTTCCATGCTGGCTGGAAATCCTGTCAGCTGGAATCCCATCCTATCTGGAAGGCACTAGATTAAGAACATTACAGAATAAACTATGGGAGTACATTCATCAATTTCTTAAAAGACATGTATAATATTCACTCACAAGGGTTTATGTGAGTACTAATTCTCTGTGAAGAACTTAGAGCCCCCTTTGAAACAAAATTAAACATATTGTTTAAACATTTAATTGCCATTTTTTAAAACTTAGTTTTAGAGTGAATAAATGATCACAATTCGGGTTTCTTGCAGATCAAGATAACATTTTCTATGCAGAAAAAGACAATTTATATGTAACATGAAATCAATAAGCAGAACGTGTAGAATTAGTTTGCAGCATTTATGTATAACAATATATTTTCATTTTAACCATGTTTGCATGTCAAATGTTTGCTTGAAATAACCTAATGCCACCATTATGATAGTGACATTGTTGCCACTGCATGGTTTGCTTCTAATGCCAACAGAGGATTTTAACTTTTAATTTTTTTTATAGCAAAGTGTGATCCATCCTGTCGACATGGCGGTGTCTGCATACGACCAAATAAATGTTTGTGTAAAAAAGGATACCTTGGTTCTCAATGCGAACAAGTGGACAGAAACATCCGAAGAGTGACAAGGGCAGGTATTCTTGATCAGATCATAGACATGACATCTTATTTGCTGGATCTAACCAGCTACATTGTATAGTTTCTGGGACTATTTGGAGACTACATTTTCAATGGGCATTTATTTTTGAATCTTCTCTTTCCTTTTATTTGTAAAGACTGTTTTCCTGCTTTGAAACTCCAGTGATTCCTTTGGGTTTGTAAATCTCTTTATTTTCAGACAAGCAGAAATGTACCCATTCACTCACAAGTATCTGATTGCATAACTAGTGGAACATTAACATTGTATTTCCTCATGTGGAATAGTTTACACAGAAATTCCACTGGTAGCTACAAAAAAAAAAAATCTGATGTCACTATAAATTATTTGATGTCCTACCAGTGTTAAGTTTATAAGTATTTTATTATTGCAATCAGAAAGGAGTTCTGAAATTTTGGACATAATTAGACAAAAAAAGGTACAAAAAATGTCCAATGGATTCAGATGACCAATTTCTATCCAGTGTAACACATGACCTTTTTTTTCCTTCCATTAAGAACTTTTCTTTGAAACTGTTAAAAAAAGCTAATGTAGCAAGAGCTACAGGTAGCCCTTGCTTAGCAACTACATTTGGGACTAGCAACTCAGTCATTAAGCAAAGCAGTCACTAAGTGAAACCATAACTGTGCTTATGATCGTACTACAGCTTTCCTTTGATTTACAGACCTGCGAAGGTCATAAATGTGAGGATTGGGTGTAAAGTTACTTTTTCATCTCCATTGTAACTGCAAACAGTTGCTGAACAAGGCAGTCACTAAACCAGGACTACCTAATAGTTCAGATTACTGGACAGTTTTAGGCAAATTGCTGTTGTGAAAAACATGGCCATATGAATCCCCATTATAGCTCTATTTCACAACTCCTTTATGCATTCTTATATAGGCAGTTCATTGTAAGATTGTAATCTTCACCTCTATCATTGTAACAGAATGTTATGCACTTAACTGCTTTACCTGACATAGATGCAAGTCTGGCTGTCACAGCTTGATTTCCACACTGTTTTAATTTTTTAACAATTAAATTATATCCGTATATTTTAAAAACAGTAATTCTAAAAGGTCTGCTTTTTATTGAATATCTTATTTAATAATGGGCACTGGGTTTGTTTTACATATTTATATGATTTTATTTTATTTTTTATAATATAGACCTCACCTAGATGAACAGCATTGTAAAATACTAAAATTATATGTTCCTCCACCTTAATTGGAATAATGGAGAGTACCAGAGCAAGCACACTCTTTAATGTGTTGTGGACTAATATAGACCTATATTATGATGTCATTCTTTGTTTATAATCCACAAAGTAGTAGCACCAACTAATTGGTCATTTTAAATGCTGATAAAGTTCTTTCCACTATATCAGAACTGGCGCCTTCATTTGCCCTTACAGAATAGAACCTCGCTGGATGACAGCTCACTTTAGCTAAAAAAATTGCCTGTGTAAGAGAACGTGTAAAAACATTAAAAATTATTATTGCCAAATATGGTTCAAAATGTAAATGTTTCTTGGAGAGTAAACAGAATATTGTTTCATTTTTGTAAATGTATCAATAAATTTGGTATACATGCTGTATTCAGAATTGTTAAAGTTTTGAGTGATATTTGAAGTGAAGGATCTTCCTCAGAATTTTAAATGTTGGTTTCTGTGATACTTGTGATTTGGTCAGGGTGGTTCATTCTTGCAGCAGATATCAATTTCTCTTTGTGCTATTGTTTTTAAGGAGGAGTCTTCGCACACTGAGAAAAGGAATGAGCAAGTGTGCTCTTCGTACCACAGTTCATAAAACACCTGTTCCTATTCCAATAGTATGCAAAGATGTTAAGCTATATACATTACATTGCTTGAATATGATTTCAGTAGGCAAGGGGAATGCCTATAGACTGAAATAAAATTATTTCTTATGTTTGAGTACAACTATAATTTATAAACAAAATGCATGAGGTAGCTTGTTCTCTGCTTAAGCAGTAGTAGAAAGAAATGCGCCTATACTTACCATGCACCTTGGGTTTCAAGTATCTTCCTGACAAATGGAAATTGGTTGAGAAATCTTGGTTAAGTGCTTAGTGAACAGGGGGCTGCATTAAAAAAATGCATCCATAATTATTGCATAGTGTAGACCAACTTAGACTCTGTTCAGAGAAGGCTCAGGATTAAATGAGCATGGAAACTAAATTATCCTCTTACCCCATAAAAGAGTGCTCTCTTCCAATCATACTAGCACATTATTGGCTAAGTAGTGTGACAAATCTTGTGATGAACCTTGCAATAGCTTGCATCCATAAGTTAATAGCAATCCTTCATCCCCATTGCTTTTTCTCTTATTGTCTTTTTACTGAATTGCTTCACAAAAAGTTTTACAATTTTTAAAAAATGCCCCAGGAGCTATTTGTATACATCAGCTTTACTATCTAATCTTCCTTTATTCAATATGGGATTGATATTAACAGAATCTGAACTTCAGAGAAAGAGGCAGCTGTCTAGTTCTATCAATACTGCCAGTTTCTTTACATAGGCAGCTCATAGCTTTGCCAGAATAAAAATTAGATTACTACAACATTTACACACAATTCACATTTAGCAGTTTCAAGTAATTGCAGTCCTGGTGGGGAAGGAAAGGAGAGTTATCTCTAAGTTTACACAAGTTTATCTATTTTAATGAAATATTTTCTGTTCTTACATTGCTAAAACAGTTTAAAGAATGAAAAGTTTATTGCAGTAATGAGATACCCAGGAATCATTGCTTGAAGATTGAAGTATTGAAGCAAGTAAGCATACAGTATCAAAGACCACCTAGAAACACAAGAACATATAATAAGCAGAATCAATCATTTGTGACTTGTGAAAAATGATACCTTAAATAATATCTAGGTGCACTGTTTTCATGATAATAGCATAATGTCTATTTTGTGATACCGATCTGGCGTAACAATTAGTGTTGAACTGGGATAAAGACATGTGAATCTGAATGTCTAAGGAGGCATTCCATCTGATGGAAATAGATCTTTCTCTGCCAGGTTCCATGAGATCACCTTCATGGAAACGAATAAACCATATTTATGAGTAGCTTAAGGTTGAAATCAGTTGTTTAAACCCTCCTCTCCTTCATCTTTTAGCTTTCAGTCCACCCATAAGGATATGCACAAATAAGATTATTGAAACTTACACCTAAATAGGCATGTATAAGATTGTACTGTTGCAACCTTCCCCAATGTCATGTTCATCAGCTGTTTCATTACATCTGCCATCATCTCCAAACATTCCTGCTGATCAGGAATGATGGAAGTCATAGTTCCAATAACTTGAGGTCATCATGTCGGGGAAGATAGCGTAATTACCTTGCATAGTGACACACAAAAGAAAATTAAATTGTTTCAGTGACAGTCAATAAGAGTCATATTATTGATTGATTAGAGTGGTCAAAAGAATGGGATATCAGTGGAAGTCAGGAGGCCCAACTTGTATGATTTGCAAACGCAGGCATCTGCAGCAACTGGAGATTTGAGTCAAAATGATGAAATGAGTATGATTCATAACACAAACTCTGACCTTTATGTGCTTGTATGCAAACCACAACATGCAGAAAGAAGCAGAGTTTGTATTGGTACATGATGTACATTTCATAATTTGCCTCTCCTTTCTGCACATTTTTGAAAAGAAAAGATAGAAAAATCATTACAACATGCGTTTTATTTATTTATGACTATTCAGAGTAGTCTTGCATCCAGATCTGCTAGGAATACAATTTTCATAATTCCTTGCTATTAAGCTTGTTAAAATTGCAACATATCTAGAAGCAACAGGTTGTGGAAGGCTATTGTTGAGAGATTAATGGGTCACACAGTGTCTTAGTTGCCTAAGCTGATAGGGATGGAATGAGATAGATGATTTCATAAGAATGGAATGGAAAACAGTATAGAACTAAATTTAATGTTCTTTGTTGGATTATCTTCTGGATTCCCTTTCTCTCTCTCTCTCTCTCTCTCTCTCTCTCTCTCTCTCTCTC